AGTACAGACGTCTCCGTACCGATCCACAAGACTCTACTAAACCCGCTCATGACTCGTGAGACCTATGTAACCTAGACTCTGATATCACCTTGTCCCGACCCAAAATCTTACCATGGTCATGATGGCGCTTATCGTGTTACAAGGCAAGCCTATTCCAAAAATATTACTGCTAATTTGATTATAAGAATTTAATAAAATATTTCTAATAATTTAATTCCTGATAAACTAAACCAACTCTAAATATAAATAATATAAAATATGGAAACGAGTCCCAAACATCGGGGTGTCACTAAGTCATGAGCGTCTACAACTATAAACTAAGATATATAAACTGTCTAACTGTCCAAAAGAAGAAATGACAAGAAGAGTAACAAGATCCTGCGGACGCTAGCAGCCACCTTGCAGTCTCCAAAGATAGCCGACCGGAACTCAACGATCGCCGCGCTCTAACTCACCTGGATCTGCACATAAAGTGCGGGGTGTAGTATGAGTACAACCGACTCAGTAGTAACAGATATAACTAAGGAACTGAGCAGTAGTGACGAGCCAAGCAAAACAATCCAATTATTTATATTCACAATTTACAATAACACATGAATAAACATGTAAATTCTATAAAACCAACAAATGCCACAAAGAAATTAACAGGTAAATGCAGCAACAACAAAAATAAATGCAACCTCACCGCAATCTCACTCCATCACTCGCACTCAGCACTAAACACTCAACACTCTGCGCTTACTAGGGGTGTGTACAGACTCCGGGGGGCTCCCAAAGCCCTAGCGCCAAGCACGGACAACTCACGTGCTACCATATCAATACCTGGATCCGCACAGTCAACTTACGTGCTACACGGACAACTCACGCGCTATGTTATTAATACCTGGACCCGCATAGTTAACTCACGTGCTACGCGGACAACTCACACACTATGGTATTAATATTCTCACAACCAGGCCCTAGGCCTTACTCAATCATGTACCTCACTAGCCTCACCATCATTAACAAATAAGGGGGCACAACTCACATCAAGTATCACAACATATTAACAAATAATAAAAACTGAGGTAAACATGTACAATAATTTCTATGACTGAGTACAAATAATGTGAGCATGAATAAAGCCAAAGCATGATCTCTAACATAGAGGCAGACAAGTTCAACAACAAGTAACTACATAAACACAGATGATGATCATGAGGCCTCACGGGACGGATCAAGTCTCCATCCTTCGAGGTATACACCCACACGCCCATCATCTAGCGTGGGTATCACCTCCAAACAGTCGCACGATATCAAATTCTCCGGGTTTATACCCTCAAAGCCTGAGTTAAAACTGTTACTTACCTTAACAACGTAAAATCCTACTCTGGGATGCCCTCGTCTCTGGACTCGGTCTCCAAAAACTCTAAATATAACCATAATTAGACTAATACCATCACCATGTGCTAAAGAATTGAATTCCAAAATAAAAACTATAAAATATGCCAAAAATCTGAAATCGACCAAAATCCGGCCCCCAGGCCCATGTCTCAGAATGAGTCAAAAATGACAGAATAATAATCCTCGTCCTCTCCCGAGTCTAATCATATAAAATTCATCAAAATCGGACTTCGTTTGGTTCCTCAAATCCTCACTTAAAACTCTCCAAAACTCAAACCCTAACTCCCTCAATTTCATTTTGAAATCATCAATCAAAATCCAAAAACGATGATAGATTCATGAAATATAACCAAAACCGAGTAGAGAACACTTACCCCAATCCATATGGTAAAACTCGCCTCCAAAATCGCCCAAATCCAAGCTCCCCAAATCAAAATATGACCGAATGAACAAACCCTAGTTTTATATATTTTTCTGACAGTTATTCTGCCGTGTTTCTTGTGCCAAACAATCCCGAAACTCATATTTTATACCTCCAATGGATTTCTTGTAAAATTCTAGTCAAGTTAGGCTTTTGAATTACTCAATTTGACCTTATAATGAATGAGATATATAGGTTTTAATATTTGCAAATAGTGCAGATTTTTAAATACGCTGTCAGTGGCAATTTTGTAATTACTCTGAAAAATCTGGCAACCTATTTCTTAGTAAAATGACCATAAAATCCTCATACGATATCCAAATACGATGATTCTTTTTGATACGGGTCCATAATTACGATACAGATCTAATGTTTTAATCAAAAAAAGAAATCAGAGCTCATTTTTCAATATGATATCATTTATGCTTGAAGAAACAATGTCGAAACATAAGAAAAATGAGCGCAACACAACCCAAACCTATCCGAATCTCACCCGAGGCCCTCAGGATCTCAATCAATAATTCCAACAAGTTATATATCACTAACCGAACTTAGTCGAACCTCCAGAACACCCAAAACAACACCAAAATACATAATCAACTTTGAATTCAAGCCTAAGAACTTCTAAGCTTCCAACTTTCGCCAGTTCAAGCCTAATTCTACCACAGACCTACAAATTACATTCCGAACACACTTCTAAGTCTAAAATTATCCAACAAAGCTAACCGAATCATAAAAATCCAAATCCGAATTCGTTTACTCATAAGTCAACTTCCGGTTGATTTTTATAACTTAGCTTTCTAACTAAGAGACTAAGTGATCATTTCACTTCAAAACTACTCCGAACCCAAACCTACCAACTCGATACAACTCAACATAGCTGAACAACACATAAAGAAATAGAAATAGGGGAATCGAGGCTATAACTCTCAGAACGACAGGCCGAGTCGTTACACCTAGCATCCTCTTTGTCCGGAAAATAACATTAAACAGCCCAGACAACCACTCCAAGTCTGCTCTACCCACATACCTCCAAAATTCTTCCGGAATTTCGTTTGGTCCGGTCCCTCTCCCCCAAATCATCTTACTAATAGCTACCATGACCTCCTCAACCTTAATACACCTACATTACCTAAAGTCCTGGTGACTCTCGGAGTACCCCAGTTCCCCTAGCATGATGTCTCTATCCCCCTCTCTTCATTCAAAGTTTATAAAAGTAAGTCTGCCATCTTCGCTTAATTTGGGCTTCTTCCATCAATACATTACCTTCTCATCTTTGATGCACCTCATTTGATCCAGGTCACGAGCTTTCCTCTCTCTCGCCTTGGCTAGCAGATATAACTACTTGTCCCCACCTTTGACCCCCAATTCCTCATACAACCGACTAAACGCAGCAGTCTTAGCTTCCGTGACCGCTAATTTTGTCTCCTTCCTAGCTTTCTTACATCTTTTTCTATTCGCTCTCATCTGCTCCTCATTGGTGCTCTCCACTAACTTAAGGTACGTCGCTTTCCTTTCTTTCACTTTACCTTGGACCATGTTATTCCACCACCAGTCACCTCGACGCCCGCTAGAATAACCCTTCAAGACCCCTAACACCTCTCTCGTCGTCTCCCTTATACAGTCCGCCGTCGCTGTCCACATAACACTAGCGTCCCCGCTACTCCAGGCTCCCATAGCCATCAGCCTGAGCATTATCCTTAGTCAAGGCTCCCCACTTGATCCTCGGTTGACCCCGTACAAGCCTCTTTTTCCTCTTTATATATAACTAATATTTTTGAAAACTATGAATACTCAACACCTTATAAAAATGAAAAAAATTATTCAAACTAATATTTTTATAGAAAGTGTTTGTTTTTAAATATATCTATATGCGTATAATTGGATATGCATCTTACATAAATGTCCCAAATAAGTTTCAATTTACCAATCTCTAGCCAATAATCATAGACTTACCAAAACAAGTCAAGCACATATAAAAATTAAAAACCCAAATAAATAAGATTCTTTCTCTCCAAGAATCACACACAAAGATCTCCTTCCATATTTTTAAGCGTGATAAACAACATTAGATGCAAGACGGAAAGAAAATTTCATGGATGAGATAACAAACAAGATGATGAAATATATATACACATATACACATACAAGATTCCAAAAATCTAAGCAAGAAAGGACTTTTTTCAATGGGTATGGTTGAAATTCATTAAAAACATATATATGAGTCAATATACAAATTTTGAGTAAGATTGGAGGTGATTTGGACTGATTTGGTATCAAAATTCGTAGTTAAAATAGAGTTCAAAAAATTCTTTTGCGACACATGTATCAAATATGTATCACGTATGTATTACACATACATGTATATACATGTGATATACATTTGATACAAATATGATACACACATACAAGTATACATGGAAATACATGTGATACACATTTGATACAAATATGATACATGTGTGATACACAAATGATACATATATTATTTCTTTTCATGTTTCATATTCTACTTTGAATTTTCAATTCAAACCTTCTCAAAACTCCGCAAAATCATCCCAAAACTGAGATTCAAACTCCTTATGATGTACCCAATCTATTCTAATAACACCCACTCAAAAAAACAAAGATTTGACCTTTTTTTTGCTACAATATTTAGTTGGCTAACATTAGTAATATTTAATGAATTGACCAATTTTTATAATATGCTACGTATAAATGGGAATAGCTGATAGTTTCTCTAATATTATATAGTGTTTTATCGTAATTTCTTGGTGAGGTTACACATTAGAACCCGACCAAAAATATTTATATTGCTTATCCAATATACATATATTATCATTAATTGTACATAATATAATTTTTCCGGCTAATTGAAGTTAATTTTTCGTGTGACCTATAGATCACAAGTTCAAAGTCGTGAAAGTAATCACTAGTATTTGCATTAGAATAGATTATTTATATCACGTTTTTTGGGTTGTGAACTTTCTTCAAACCTTGCGTTAATGCGGTATATTTTGTACACCAAAGCGTTATATTTTAAAGTTAAATGTTTTGTGCACCAAAGCGTTATATTTTAAAGTTAATTTCTCTAATATTTTATTTACCAAAAAGAAAATTTGTAAAACCTTCGGAGTTCGGTCATACCAAGAAGACACGTGTTAAAGGAATCATAAGCCTTTTACAAAAACTGGTCGAGCCCCGCATTAGTGGATTGCACCTTGAATCCTTTGATCAATTGCATTGTAGCAGAGATTCATTCAGAGAAGAAGAAGAAGAAGAAGAAGAAGAAGAAGAGGAAAGAGATGAATCTGAACATGGATTCTGTTGAATCTCTTGTGGCTCAAATCCAAGGGCTTTCTGGAAATTTATCAGACATTAATCATCTTCACAACCTTCTCAAACAATCTGAAGAGTTACTTCACTCCGAGTCGACTAGCGTAGTTTCTTCGCTCGCTGAACTTGACCCTTCTATTCACTCCCTCGGCTACCTCTATTTCTTGTAAGTTCCTTTTGAAGGATTTATTTTGCATGTACCCATGTTATTTATTCTTTATTTCATATGCTTACGGATCCAATTTAGGGTTTGTGATATTCATGTGAGGTTGGAGAATAAAAAAAAAATGATGCAATAGTGCAAAAGTTAGTAATCTTATGAAGAAGTTAGTGTTTTTCTGGATATAAATATATGAGTCCGGCAGTGACGGAGGCAGAATTTTCAACAAAGGATTCAAAATAGAAAAAAAGTTATCACGTGAAGAAGGCAAGAAGCCAAGGGGATTCAACATCTACTAATATATATATGAACTTATCTTTATGTCTCGTTATCAAACACACATCATTTCATTAAAGGTTTAGCCTTAACATACCTTAACTCCGTTGAGTCCTTAATATGTATATATATATATATATATATATATAAAAGTTGACCTTATAGATGCAGCGTAATTTTCAGGCAAACCCCCTTCTGCCCCTCTAGCTCTGTCCTTGAGGTATGGTGTAATGTGCAAACGCAGCCTCAAGGAGGATTTGACCCAAAAAAGGGGGATTTTTAATACAAGTTATTGATAATCTTGGAGTAATCCACATGCCGACGAAGTGCTATAAATGGAGTTTTGTGGTAGATGTAGAAAACCCTTCGTGCTAACTTTGTTACTAGATATTAGACAATGCATATATTGTTCCCTGTTTTTGCTACAAGCTACATTGTGCACTTTCTGGTGGCTTGAAATTAATATGATTAAGTGGCACAATTATGATGACTAAGGTAGCACCCAAGGGTGCAACCTAGTGATCTATGGAGTGTGCAAACTTCGGTGACAAGGGTTCAAATACCAAGGAAGACATAAATACTGGGTGTTTGGTGATTTCTTCCCATCTGCCTAAGTTGTAGAGTTTCGTGATGCCTATACTAACGGGAGGTAGCAGGTACCCTGTGAAACAGTTTATGATGACCAAGGTGGATACTTTATTTGGTTAAAATTTACGTAGTCCATCATAGCGTTAATTGTGTAAGAAATAAGGGAAAAATCGTGTAATGGTCATATTATCTAGCTATATTGCAGGCAATCTCATGTGTGTCTCGTTTAAATCTCTCTCTCTCTCTCTCTCGTATTGTTTCTTACTTGCTATTGACTTTTATGGAACTAGTTATGTCAACTTCCGGGTGTACTAAAAACTCGCTTCTGTGCTATAACAGGAAGGCGATCTTGTCTGGCCCAGTTTCAAAGGAGGAAGCTAATGGAATACTCGTTTCTGTTGCAAGATTTATCAATTCATGTGTTGTCGAGCAAATACATTTGGCACCTGAAAAATGTATGAGCCTTCACTTCAGATTTTTTTTTCCTTCTGAATATTCAGGTTTTCGGTCCAAGTTGTATTAAGATATGTTGTCAATTTGTGGTTGCAGTCATATTTATTTGTAGATGGTTTAAGGATCAAGTTATATTGCTAGAAGCACCAATTCGTGGTGTGGCTCCTATGCTGACTGCTGTTCGCAAGCTACAAGTCTCTTCTGAGCAGCTGACAGCTTTGCATCCCGATTTCCTTCTTCTTTGTGTATTAGCAAAGTGCTATAAAACTGGTGTTTCTATACTAGAGGATGACATATTTGAGGTTGATCAGCCAAGGGACTTCTTTCTTTATTGTTACTACGGGTCAGTTTCCTCAGCATTGAGGTTATTGTTATTATGGTGGTCTTGCAGCCACTTCTCACATATTATTGTGTTCACTTACCCAAATCGTTAACAGAGCATGCTCTTTTTATGTGGTGTTGCTCCATTGTTTTATAAAGATACTCTCAATTACCATTCTTGATGTGCATTTGTTGTGCCATCTGTCTTTAATGTTTTGACTACGTAAAGGAAAAACTAACCCCTTGTTGAACCATGTGGTGTGCTGCAATGCACCAAACTTATAAATCACAAAGAGTAATTTAAATATCCTCTAGTTAAATGCTTCCAATCGTTCAGTCTTGTGGATTGTGCATCGACCACGTATCGTGCTTATGTCTGATGATATTTGGTACTTAACAGGGGGATGATTTGCGTTGGACAAAAGCAATTTGGCAAAGCTTTGGAACTTCTACACAATGTATGTCAATGTTTTAAATCATAATAATTTGATGACTAAACCTTCTATGCTATCTTTCATTAAGTGTCTTTATTTTTGTTAGAATGATTTTCCCAATTCCTAATTTGCTTTAGGTAATTTATAGCTGTAAGGTTGTTCTGATTTAACTACTATTGCTTTAAGGTTGTGACAGCACCTATGTCCACTTTAAGTGCTATAGCGGTTGAATCTTACAAGAAGTACATTCTGGTTTCCCTCATTCGTCTTGGGCAGGTATGTTTTATCACCATTTTCAACTTACTGTTTACTGGTGAAATTAGTTTATTCCCGTACACATGGCTAATATCTAAGAGTGGCGTACCTCTTGAAGGCAGCTTGCGAGGTTTATTTGATCTCTTTTCAGTGTAGTGTATGCATGTATAGGCATTTGCAAATAAATTTCTTATTTTCTGGATGAGATATTATCCGTCTATTTTATCTAGTTGTGAACCACACAGAGTGACTTTCTGTATAGAGCTAAAGGACCATATATTTTGTTTTATATGTGCTTGGGACTATATAAGACATGCTATACGGAAAGCATGGCAATTGAATTGGGTGTGAAAACTGAAGAGTCTGTTCTTGTGTATATGATTTTGTACCAAGAACAATCAGTATAAAAGATGATTGAGCTGTAAGACTTGATTTTAATAACCAAATGTCACTTCATCATTAGATTAGATAAACGATCTTTCATAGAAGAAAGGAAGTCTTTCAAAATAGGGTAATAAGTTTTATTATTTCAAAATAGCGCTAGGTCAGTGCAGAGTAAAAGAAACAATTGGTAGTGACATAGTCGAGTTACTGTTGCAAAGAAGAAAGGAAGTCTTTCAAAGAATAAATGTGGCAAATCACACTGGCTGACAAGTTTCTGTTTGCATTTAATCTTGCTATATTTTCCTTGTTAAGATGCTTCCGGATTCTAAATTTCACTTTAAATGCTGTGAGTTGTGACCTTCCCCACTCCCTTAAAAAAGGATTGACAGTTTGTTTCTGAACCTATCATCCTGCCTGGTGTTAGTTATCCTGATTAAATTGTGCTAATGTGCTTAACGTCTAATGGCAGTTCTCCGTCAGTTTTCCCAAGTACACTTCATCGGTGGCCCAAAGAAATTTGAAGACCACCTCTCAGGTAAAGTTCCTACTGTTCAAAGAGTGATTTCAGGTTGCTTGATTTGCTCATACCAAATATAAGAGGGACTGCTAAGTTTGTATGATTTAAGATGATGCAATTATTGATGTTAGAAATGTTGAATAGGTTCCAATAATAAATTTCTTATGATTAGGGCTACTTAATGTTTAATCAGTACTTGTAGGCTTGTAGCATAGAACTGGGACATGATTGCCAAACATTTCTTGTTATCTGCCTTCTTGGGTTAAGGTTTATCAGGCCCGAATACTAAATTACTAACGAACTCCCTCTTTGAGCAGCCTTACCTGGAGCTGGCAAATAGTTATGGCACTGGGAAAATCTCTGAGCTTGAAACATTTGTTCAAACAAACATGGAGAAGTTTGAAAGTGTAAGTTCTCTGTGGTCGAAGTGGCACAGTTCTTTGTTTTCAAGGTCGAAGTGGCACAGTTCTATCATCACTAAGGGGTTTACATTTCAATCTCTTTTTTCAGGACAATAATCTTGGATTAGTGAAGCAAGTAGTCTCTTCTATGTATAAGCGCAATATTCAACGATTAACTCAAACATACCTTACTCTCTCCCTTCAAGATATTGCCAACACTGTCCAACTAAGTAGCTCTAAAGAGGCAGAGATGCACGTGCTTCAAATGGTAGGTGGAGGTTTCAGTTCTTTTACCACTGCACCTGGGTTTTGCTTCATAATTGACGCTTGACATGATTATTCACATGTGGTTTTAGATTGAAGATGGTGAAATATATGCGACTATAAATCAGAAGGATGGTATGGTTAGATTCCTGGAGGATCCTGAGCAGTATAAAACATGCGCAATGATCGAACACATTGATTCATCAATGAAGAGGTCAGATTTTCATTATTGTTGCGATTATAATTTAGTTAATGAAGGAGCTGATTAGGTAAAATTATCCTAATAATTCCATTTGTGTCTACTTATAAAAAAAGAGCCTTGTTGTCTCTAAGAACTTTAATTTTCTCTGACGTGATTATGAAAATATTCACTTTTAATGCTATAAGAAGTATGTGCATGGTTTTTCTCTTAGTTATGTCATTCTTTCGCTTCCAATCTGGTGACTTTAGCAACTGTTTGGATTTAAATCCAAAGTCCTAATGAATTTGTATGTGTTAAAACTTTTTCTTCCCCATACTAATGATGCATGAATTTCGAATATGTTTGGAGTTTTATTCAACCCTAGTTCAATAACTTTAGGATGGGTTTTTGTAACCAAGGATGAAATTTTTGTTGATTATTCTATTTGTCATTGCCAACAAAATGAAATGCTTGTTGACATAACTTGTTCTTGCAAGTGCAACAACAACAACAACGACCCAGTATAATCACACAAGTGGGGTCTGGGGAGGGTAATATGTACGCAGACCTTACCCCTACCCCGAAGGGTAGAGAGGCTGTTTCCAGGAGACCCTCGGCTCAAAAAAGCAATAGGAGATGATACATTAGTACCATAAAAATGCGTAATAAAAATAACAATATATAAGAGATATGGAATATGAAATACAGGATACGAAATACGAAATACGAAATAGATGGCTGGTATAGTACAACTAGAAGGTAAAGCCCTGCATCAATAGACGACCAATGACATTCCTAGTCTAACTCCTAACTAGATAGTCTCCCTCTATTGTGCTGTAGAAATATTCACACTCTCCCCTAACCTACAACCTTAATGCTCGACCTCCATAATTCCCTATCAAGGGCCATGTCCTCAGTAATCCTAAGTCGCGCCATGTCCTGTCTGATCACCTCTCCCCAATACTTCTTAGGTCTCCCTCTACCTCTCCGCGTGCCCACTACAGCCAGTCGCTCACACCTCCTCACCGGTGCATCAGTGCTCCTCCTCTGAATGTGCCCGAACCATCTGAGTCTTACTTCCCGCATCTTGTCCTCCATGGGGGCCACACCCACCTTCTCTCGAATATCTTCATTCCTAATCTTATCCATCCTTGTATGCCCGCACATCCACCTCAACATCCTCATCTCTGCTACTTTCATCTTCTGGATGTGTGAGTTCTTTACCGGCCAACATTCAGTTCCATATAACATGGCAGGCCTAACCACTGCTCTATAAAACTTACCTTTTAGTAACGGTGGTACTTTCTTGTCACACAAGACTCCCGACGCTAACCTCCACTTCATCCACCCCACCCCTATACGGTGTGTGACATCCTTGCATTCAGTTCTTGCAAGTGCATGAAGGGAAAAAAAGTAGTACATATAGAAGCTGCAATAAAGTCTATTTTTGTTACATTGCAGAATAATGTTGCTGTCAAAAAAGCTGACTTCATTGGATGAGCTTATGTCTTGTGATCCTATGTACCTAGCGAAGGTGAAGAGTTTTTAAATATCCTCTGCCACCAATTGCTTAATTCTGAATTCTCTCATCTCCCTGCCTCAAAGGGAAGAAATGTGACATTTATTATGTTCTAATTACTAACTTTTGGTTTATTTGCTTGCACAGGTTGGCAGGGAGAGACAAAGATATGATTTTGATGATCTTGATAGTGTTCCTCAGAGATTCAACATATGAGACAAGCACAGTTTGAGATTTGGGAGTAAATATGTCAAACGATGGTAGAGCTATTCATTGAAAGCAAAATTTGTTCTATTATTTCCGCAAATGACTCCAGTTGGCTTAGGTGCTCTACGCTCTTGAAAAAAGTTAGTTTTTGGTTTTCTAATGTTGGGTTAAGGCATATATGATCATGACATTTTACACTGGTTTATAAGGAATTTTTCTCACCACCTGTCAAGTGGATGACTAGCATAGTGAGCTCGTTAAAACCTTTGCTTTCTTGAACGTAGAACCTTATTACTACTTAACATTCTCTTAAAATCATTCACAGTGGTTTGCCAACTGTGCTGTCGAGAAATCATATGAAATTATTCATCTTTGAATTGGAGAATTTTGCAGTGCAGCAATGGAATAATGTACAGGCAAAACGCCTTAAAAGAACCTGCATTACAACTTAGATTCTGGTATATGGATCCTTCTTAATTCTTTTCTCAAAATCTTCCCAGATGGATTCTTCGGTATGGAGCTAATAAATGCTACACGCCTTATTTTCTTATATGGAGCAACCTGCAACAAAAATTTAACGTCACATTAGCAAGTTGTGGACAATCACACTAAACACTTCGGAATTGGTTCAAGGATCAAAGGTCATGGGCCTTTATCCCATGTGTTTCACTTTCATATGTGAGATATATGATATTTCAAGTGAATTGAACTTGGCGATTCACAGCATAATATGGGATTTTTGAGCGAAAATGGTAGTCTACTTAAAATCAAATAGTTAAAGAAAGCACCTGTTTTGAAATAAAATCAATCACTTGTTCTTTGTCTGGAGAGCTTTGGGTACGTCTCACAACAAATGCCATGGGCACTTGACCAGCTTCTTCATCAGGGTATCTGTCAATTTTGTGTATAAAATTCATCAGCATTCCACTTCTAACATTTTCTCAACATTCAAGTTATAATCTTTTCAAATGGCGGGCCTTTTTTTTATTTCATAGCTTTAGTTTACTTGCATCAGATGATTGCGAGTAAATACAAGGCAAGTTACAAGAAAACAAAAAAGCAAAATCTTACGGTATCACAGCAGCATCTACTATATCTGGGTGAGACAGAAGAAGTTGTTCAAGTTCAGCAGGAGCAACCTGAACAATCAAGCATGAATAAGCAGGCATTTCCATTGTAAAATGCCTGAGAAGCTAAATGTTACTACAAGGGAAGCTAGCAACGGAACCTGGTATCCTTTATATTTGATTAGCTCCTTCAGCCTATCTACAACAAAAAGGTAACCATGATGGTCAATATAACAAAGATCACCAGTCCTCAACCATCCACCCGGCACCAGAGTTTCAGAAGTTGTCTTCGGATCACCCACATAACCTACAAAAAAGTATCACAATATCATTTGATCGCTTAGCAGATAGCTAACAAGGAATGCTGTCTCAATTTCAAACTAGTCTGAGTAGTCCTGTAATTGAAGGTACCTTGCATAATGGTTGGACCTTTAATCCAGAGCTCTCCTTGTTCACCGGGAGGCAGAGCAATGCCAGTTTCTGGATCTACAATTTTTGCTTCAGTATTTGCTATTAGCCTTCCCACTGAATCCCCACGAAGCATTTCTTCTGTAGTCGCAGCTCGAAATGCTGCCCCGCTTGTCTCAGTTAGTCCATAACCCTCAAATCAAGACTCAAAGTTCAGTTACATGTTAAAAAGCAATTCCTTAGCTTATCGAGAATTTGGTCTTACACCAATCAGTTAAATATCAAATAAGCCCCAGTGCTACACTAATCAAGGTGTGACAATATGAATTATAGTATAACATTGCGCTGTCGATGTCATTTCATTTCAATAAACAATACTAACAACTGCGCCTTCTTAATCCCAAGCAGGCTTGGTTCGGCTATACAAATCTTTATGGATTATGTCACTTAATTTAGACTCGTCTCATATCAATATTATACAAATAAAAATAAAGTACTAGGAGTTCTTTATATTTTCAGTACTATATTTCTGATAGGACCAAAGGCTCCTAGAAGACGTATGACCTATCGTACACGTACAAACATATCTAACAAACAATCCTAAGTAATTGGTATCACCTATATAGATTTTTTCTTTCCGTCTTCCTATTCCTCACTAGGTTTGCAGGAATTTCAAGAGTTTTCGGGATAATTTACTTTCATATGATTTTTGGTCCACATAGTCTCCCTTTTTAGCTCCCTACATTGACTATGATTTCACAGCCATTGACGGATGTATTTGGAGGCCAACACTAGATATGATTAAGTCATCTCGAGCAACCTCTCATTTTATCCTTAATGTGGCCAAATGTGGTCATTTTTTACATGATGCCACATCTCATTCCAATACTGAAAACATTGTCTTTGAAGCAAAGTAAGGTTTTCTAAGAATTTCACCCATATTCTTACACGGACATGAACCAGGGCAGAGTCAAGGGTGCCCCTTTCATAGTAAAATTACATTATACACGTAATGTCAAAATTTTATGTATACATAGCGATATTGAATCCCTTAGTAAAAGTCTTGGCTCCGCCACTAGATATGAAGGTACTTTACTTACTTGAAATAATATTGTATTTGGAAACTTGTATGAAAATGCTTGGATAACATCTTTGCCAAGCGGAGCACCTCCACTACCAACCGCTACCAACGAACTCAAATCATAGCCACTGGTAACACTTCCTTTAGCCATTGCCACAACAACCGGCGGAGCCACCACCAATTGCGTCACCTTAAACTCCTCCACCGCGTTCAACATTTTCCTCAAATCAAATCTCTCCATCACAACTACAGTCTCACTCAACGCTACCGATTTCAACGCATAGTGTAAACCGAACACATGAAACAACGGTACCGTATACAACATCACCGGCACCGGCGACGTCCGCTCTTGTCTCTGAGCATAAAAATTAGCAATAATTGCAATAAAATTCCGATGACTCAACTTCACTCCTTTTACCTCCCCTGTAGTCCCCGACGAATACATAATCGCCGCCAAATCCGATTGATTCACTTCCACAGGCTCGAATTTCAACTCCGTATTCGTCATCATCGATTCAAACTCCGGTAAGTCAATAAGAACTGTTCCGTGTTTCAACTTAGGAAGCTTCTGGAAGTTCCTCGACGTAGCAAAAGCGATTACAGGATTCGTTAACTTAATTTGTTTAAACAGCTCGGATTCCGTACTCATAGGATTAGCGGGAGAGACTATAACGCCGAGGGAGAGTAGTGCAAAGTAGAGAACCGGAACGTGAGTTGAATTCGGTGAAAGGATAAATGCGACATCGTTTTTGGAGAAGCGGAATGTGTTTTGAAGGGAGGAAGCTAGGGAAATGACACGTGTACGAAATTCGGAGAAGGTTAAGCGGCGGCCGGTGGCGGAGTCGATGAAGGCGGCGGCGGTGGAATCGGGGCATTGTTGGAGAGAGAGTGCGTAAGAAGCAGCGGAAAGAGGAGAAGCTTCTGGAGGAAGTAAGAGAGGTGGCCGGAGACTGTGGAAAGTTTTGGTTATTGAACAGAATCCGCTGTTTGGGTCGTCGGAGGAGGATGAATTTGTAGTATCCATGTGAGGAAGTAGTTGCGGCCAGGGCGGATTTAGGGGGCGCAAGGTTTATCCGAATCAAAATATATTTTTTATCTCTATTTATTAAGTTTTGAAACTCCTTAACACAATTTAGAAGTGCAGTTTAGTGGTCAAAGGGATTCAAAATATACATAAGGTCATAGTTCAATTCCGACTAAAAACAAAAAAAAATAAAAATTGAACCCTCCTTTGTGGAGATCCTGCCTCCGCCGCCAATTACGACGGCGGGGAATTACTTTAGAGATTCCAACTAAATTAGTGGTGGTTATATATACAGTTGGGTGTCCACTATTTCAATTGGCTGTTGTGGTAGCCATAAGTTTATTTCTGGTTTGTTCTATATGGATTTGGACTTTATAGGAACATGTTTGACCAATATATTCGAATTGTATTGAAGCAAAGGTAACGTTATCTCACTATAACTCGCACATTTGAGCCGTAAAAGTAGTCACTAATATTTTTATTAGGATATACTGTCTACATCACACCTCTTGGGGTACGATCATGGGCGGGTGCGTGCATGCTTAACCAAGCAGTGTCACGCGACACTGCTTCGTTGGATTTTTTTATTAAATATATGTGTACTACTAGGAGAAAACAAATAAGTTGAAGAAAATGGCACTAGTTGACATAAATTATCTCTTGGTGTGGTGGTTATGTGCTTGATGCTCTAATATGTAGAGGTTCAAACCTCAACTAGCACATTTATTTACAGATATTTGAGAGAGTCTGTTCTGCATGGTTAAAAATTGTGATGAAGTAGAATTGAACCCAGAACCTTTTCTAACTTGAAAATCAACAAAACAAACAAACTAATAATATTTCTTGTCTAGAAGTATGATAATTGAAGTTATTATTCCCGTACTTCTAAATTTCGACACCATTTATAAAAATTACTGCGTATGCCCTTGGGTATGACCTTTTCCCGGACCCTGCATGAATGCGGGATACCTTGTACGTGGAGCTATCTTTTTTTTTTCTTTTTTTTAATTCAGCAATTTTTTTTATTAATTGTGATATATAATATGTTAGAATATTTGTAAGAATGTAAAATCATATTCTTAATGATATACTTAAAAGTTTAAAGGTAAATTTTATTTAAATATAAAAAGATGTTAGTTTTTAAGAATTTACTAAAAACAAAAGAGTAATTGAAAAATTTGCAAAAAATATGAAGAAGTTCAAGAATCTTAGCAATATATGTGAGTTATAATACATCATGAGTTTAATTTATACTAGACTTATGATACGCGCGTTGCTCGTGGACACTATCTCAATGGATAAATTTCTAAAAAGTCGTATAGATATTATATTGAAATATTGTGTCTAAGCTATAAAATAAAAATTTATTTTTCTAAAAATGATAAATGTTGATTTTATGTAATTAACTCAATAAAAGAAGAAACTGCCCCATAAAAGTTCTCAATAATTTGTCAATATGTTCAGTCAAAAAGTTGTTCTAATTTTATAATTTCATTTTCTTGTTAAGCTTGATACTTGAATTTTAAAATAATTGGAATTGATTGATATTATTATGTCTGTGATTGCTAGATATGTGTTTTTATCCCAAATATGATTTAATAACAAAAATTTAGTTGATATTAAAATTTTAAATATAAGAAAAATAATTCAACATATTTTATTATTTAAAAGAAATACTCGTAAACTTTGAAAAAGTACTCCTAAAAGTATATTAAATGAAATAAGAAAATAAGGACTACTAAACCAAACTTTTATAACGAAAATAAAATTGTCCTAAACCTAATATTAAAAAAAATATTCGTGAATTCTTGAAATTCAATACCTTAAATCTAAATAAAGTTTATATGAAGTATTCTAATTAAATAACATGATTTCTTAGATCAAAATCCTAAACGTTAGAAAAATTACTCCAGTGATTATTCTAAATATTAAGGAAATAATTAAATGACTATTTCTAAATTTAGGAAACTAACTTAAATTACTATTTTGTCCAATATAAAAGCTAATTCTAAAGGGTAAAATGACGAACGCTTGCGCGTGAATGCCATATCGATGAATATGAACTATTAAAATATTACATAAATATTCTATTAGAAATTATGTTTGAGTGATAAGATAAAAATTATAGAAAAAATATAAGTTCTTGAAAATAGGAATTGTTGAACCTATCTAGCTAACAAAATAAATAGAGAAACTATACCCCATATAAGCCTCAATCATGTCAGTCAATATATTCAACTTAAAAATCCTTACAAATTTTAGAATATCATTACTTCAATTTCACAAGTTATACTTCATTTTTAGTTTTAGCAAGAACACATTAACTCTTGGATATTTAAGTTATTCCATAAAATTTTATTTCAAAAGTTACATATTCTTAAGTTTATTACAAAAAAACACAAATAAAGTCAACTAACCGACAAAAGATGCCTTTTTTTTCTCGTTGAGAAAATATAAATTGTGCTATTACTCTAATTAATAAGAAAAAATATAGTAATTATTTTCAGTAAATTAGTAAAGAACTACGCGTCTATCTTGTAATAAAATTTTATGCAATTCACGGGTTCTAAAAAGACTACGTTAATACTATTCTAAAAGCAGCAAGAATATAAAATTCATGTTAAAATTAAATTAGGTTTAGTTCTACATGTTAGACAAATAATTGTCCTTTATAGATTATTAAACATATAAAAATTAGACAAATAATTGACATATAAGCAACTTTTTATCAATATTGTATGTTTTTAAAAAATATTACCCATTGAGATAGCGTACACGCACAACGCGCGTATCATAAGACTAGTTATGTAGACATATAAAGAATATATGTCTTTATGTTAGTACTAATTGTCCTTGAACATAATATTATAATTGTTAAAACAAAACTCTCTACACAAAAGGAAAGTCGAATAAAATTTGTACACTCGAATAATTACTGCCGTACTACAATAGAGCTAATCTTGAGAAAAAATTTCCAAGATTGAGTGCCAAAGTAAATAAATTTAGGATTTTTTAGTTCTTACTTATTTCAAATAAGGAAGGATTTAGTATGGGAAATTTTAATTGATTTCAAAGTTCTAAATATTAGAAAAATATTTTGTTCAAATATATTGAATTATAGTTCAAGTATGGAACAATTTAATAAGCAAAATTTGAATAGATTTTAAAGTCCTAACATTAGGAAAGTAAATTAAATTACCCAATGTAAAATAGATTTTTAAAGGGTAAAAAGGGCGAACGACATTTCGCTAAGGACATTCGTGCTTTTAATATAGTACTAGTATCTATCAACGTGCGTTGCACGTTAATAATGGCACGTGATGATTTAAATATTTATTTATATGAAGGAACAATAAAATTTATTTAATTAAAGAAATTTTATGTATAATAATACAATAATCATCTAAATGATAATCAAACGGTTCATTAATATCCAATATATCTCTAGAACTCCGAGCATTTTTTTCGGTCGTTTGACACTTAGCCATAAGTGTTTCATCCCATATTATCAATTTTGCTTTCCTTATAAATTTAGCATCATTGCTCTGCTTTGATATATTTGTGATGGTTATTTAAGTTGTTTGAAGAGGTATATCAAATCTAAAGTGGGTGGTCTCACAGTAAAATAGTTGTTGGCACACCACTTGCAATTATTGCTAACAGCTTCGTGCCTCTTGATATGATATTTGCAAGTAACGCATGACATAGAAATATTATTTCGATTCCGCCGGAGGCATCTACAAAGAATAGTCTCGTTATAGAAATATTATTTCGATTCCGTTCACTACGCTCCCTTCAAGATTTACTCGATGTTCAGTACATTTGTTGTATCGGTATTAGTTATTACTTGGTTTGTCTTTTGCCTATCTACGATTTCACATGTCATATTACCATTCGACCATTTGTTATAAACCAATTTTACCCCATACTTTAATGATTATATGTCAAATGCATACTCGCTTATTACATGCTGAAAGTCCATTTTTAACTTTGGTATATAAAGTAATTTCCGGAGTTCTTCATTTTCTTAAACTTTAAATAAAGTTGGTGTCCCTTCATTCAACGCTTAGTTAATTTGACTTCTAAAAATTGAATTACGTGTATTACATAATCATGAATCATGTGGGGTAACTTTTCTTTTCTAGCTTGATTCCTTGCTTGAATTTTGAGATGTTATAATTTTAATGGATTTTTCTCATAAATTTAACTGCGTGAAAAGTTATGGGTTTAAATGCAGGGGCGGTATATAAGTTACGGGTTCTGCCGAACCTAGTAACTTTGATTCAAATTCTATATTGGTCCTAAGAAATTCATTGAATATGTGTAAATTATTAATTTAGAATTCAGTAACTTAAAATAATTATTATGCCAAACTCATATACTTTAAATTCTGACGCGCCTCCGTTCAAATGATCCCGGCGCCTCTGTATCTGCCCCTGACCTCGGCCTAATTAAGTCCTTTCCCTTTTCTTCCTTCCGTACTGTTTTCAGCTTTGATCATTACTATGACATTCTACCAATTAGAATTCAAGATAACAATAATTCCTATGTCCTCTTCATTTGGACAAGAGGGATTGTATTCTCCATTTTTAACCAAGAGGTTGTGAGTTTGAGTCTCCTCAAGAGCAATGTGAGAAATTCTTGGAGGGAACGATGTCGAAGATCTATTTAGAAACAGCCACTCTATCCAAATAGAAGGTCTAGAATTCGAAACCTACTTGCATATCGGTCGAATCCGTCGCATGAGGATTATTTCGAGATTTATCCTCCTGTATAGTTTGCGAGCTATTATACAAGAGCGTGATTTACTCCGTGGGTACCCGAAGGATAGCGACTCCCTTGTTAACAAAAAAGGACGAAGAATACATTTACCATTTCAATACCTCTGAGATCTTCTTTCTCATGCTCCAATCAGAAACCAATATTTTCTTGGGCCCCAAACGTCATCCGACCATCCACGAGGCCCAACACCACACACCCCCTTTAAATTTCAGAGTATCCCAACACCACGCCCACATGGGAGAGCGTTCTCTTCAGTCGCTGGGTGACTCCATACCCAACATCATTCTCCTCCTTCTCTAGCCGTGGAATCAGCATACTTGAATCGAGATAGGCCGTCTATATCATATTTTTTGGGGCGTGGCTCTTCTCGTCTTGTGTAAACTTTAGATGCTTCGTGCACCTACCTATCTTTTTCTATATGAAATTTTATTACTACTTATTTTCGTGATACAACAAATCAAAACTTTTGTGTCTTTCTTACCATCTTCACATTCTTGAATAGTCATTCCTTTTGAGTCGTCTACATATTGTTGTTCACAACAGTTTGCTACAGAGAACCATTCTTTTGTTCACTTGAACATAATTTGGATTTATTTAATTCTTAGCATGAATGCTTGGTGACGTAAACTAAGAGTTCACCAAATTGCATAGAGAATCTGGTTTTCTATCAGTTTCCACAGAACACACAACAGTAAGTAAATAATACAATAATATTTACATGAAAAAATTTCAGCTTACTGAATTATAAACCATGACCTACACTCGTAGGATTTCAACCTCGCTAACTGAGCAACTTTAGATTACAACCTATTGTAACCTCGAAATTAACTTCTAGAACTATATTGCAAACCTCTTTGTAATAACTCTATTACAAAGCTAACCACTTTGACTAACTCTAGTCAACACAAACACAAGGTTTATGATTTACAAAGTGCCCTATGAAATGTTTCTAAATAAGTTGAGTAGGAGTTACAAATGCCTAGGAGTTACAAATGCCACTTTGTTATGTTGTTTTGTTCTTCAATTCCTTGGAGTGAATGAAGGCGGTTGCACACTTGAGAGTAAAATATGTTTTAGGTTTTGCAAGTGTGTGTAATCCCTTTCCTCATGTTGGTAATATATAAGTGAGGTCATCAAAGATGATACAAAGGAGTGTTCGGTACACAACATGCTTCAACAGTGCAACAACTTTAACAACTATAAGAGTTAATTTGTACTTTGACCGGAGAAACTGATATTCACCTGTTCCCTTTGTTATTCCCTTAACTGATTTTATTGAAACTTGTGCCTGATATTTGACTTGTTGTTTTGAGCATAGAAAGGTTTTGTATCAGGTTCTCTATGTGGTGCTCATATGAAGTTTGTTAAATTATCTAACACAAAAAGACACATAACTTATCACTCACTAAGCTACCTACGAATTTAAACTCACCGTGAAATCTTAGCTCCGCCTCTAATCCGTAGGGACGGACAGAATTTAAACTTTACGGATTCAGACTCATAGCTTCTATACTAAATATGTCTATACCTTTGGGTCAAATAAGTAGCTTCTTTCATCAATATGAAGTTATTCTCACGACAAACCAGGGAGCGTGGGTTAGTTAAGTTCAGTAAATTCGAACAAAAGCCACGCGTCTAATTACTAGAACATCCCATCAAAAGTACTCAAACATTGTTTATATCAATGTAAATACGTGTCCCTCTTTTTTCCTAAGTGCTTTATATGTGTCCAACTTCTGATTGGTTTTTACGTACAACACCAATAACTACATCCTTCGGTCGATACGCTGCTTTAATCTTAGGCCCCACCTTGATCATCTTCGTCACTACTGTTTCAACTTTGCCCTAAAACAAACATGAGTTGTGTAACTATGATAATTGGCTCAAAATATTGTCATATCTCACTCTATCAATCTAAAAATAACTCTTCAACAGCGCTCTGCAACAGCCATGGATGTTGAGAATAGTGGGCCCTCCTATGGATGCCACGTTGGACCACAAGATAGGATGATAATGAACCGGATAATGTTAAGATTCCGGCCGATTGCACCGAAACCGGTCGCCGACGGTTCAGGTCCGGGTTCTAAACCGGAGAATGAAAAGGCAGAACCGGTTAGCAGACGAAGAGGGAAGAGAAAGTACGTTAGAGTTAAGAAAAATAGGAAGTGTAAGAATAGTGCAGAGAAAGAAGAAAGAAAAGATGGATCTGATAATAATGGATCTATTGTAACCCTTCAGTTACTTCCGGAGAGTAGCAGCAGTGTTACAAACCCGACAGATAACGTTTCTTTTCAAAAAGAAATCTCTTTCTCTGAGCTAGATCAACCCCAATGGATGAGTTTTCATGAATATGATAATAATGGTATATCCGCCTTCAGTTCAACGGATCGGTTAGATCTGAAGGTAGTGTTAAATTGTGTGATCGTCTCGTCTAAAAGTTTAATTATATGTTACAGATATCACACTTTATTGCTTAATTATATAATTTATGTCTCGACACACCTCCTTACATGTTCTGATTTTCTTTCGTGGGTCAAACATATATATTTTCTTGTTGTTTGGGTTTTGTTGAGATTCGAACCTATATATGACCTATGATTGCACTAATATATATTAGCCTAAGGATGATTTTCACTAAGAGGATTCAAAATATATAAAAAAGTAAATACAAAAAAGCAAGAGAATTCATTATCTAATATATATATATACACACATTAAACATAATTCTGACCTTGTATAACATTGTAATTTCCGGCGAAGGGGTACAGATGAACCTCTTTGCGCCCCAAGCTCCCCCTCTGCTGATATATATCATGTTGAATTTTTTGGTTTATTTAATCAAAAAGTTTAAGTTGTTAGCGAAACACATTTTTATTCACTTAATTAATTATAAAATTATGTCTCAACAGGTGACAACGCAGACACCAAGAATGGTAGAGTCTTGGGTGATGGTGGATAGAATAACAAACATATTTGTGGATAGTGAAGGCTTAGGAAGTACGGACATGGAGAAAATGAAGAATCTGGAGACGGACACGTATCCAGGGCTCGTGTCGGATAGCTCAGATAGGGTGCGGTGGGTGAATCCGGCGTACCGGAGAATGGTGAATCCTCTAGAAGACGGAGGAGTGACGGCGGAGATGGTGGTGAAGATGGTTGTGAAGGAGAAAATAAGAGAGGAAGAATTACCTGCAGCTTTTGCATGCATTGTGAGGTTAGTGTATACATGGAAGAATAAGAAAAACTCACGAACAATGCCTTGTGATGTGTGGAAAATGGAGTTTGGAGGGTTTGCATGGAGGTTTGATTCTAATGCTGCACTTAGCTTGGGTCGTTAAAGGAACTAAACCCCTTCACCAAGCAAGAAAGAATACTACTCACAAGCCAACGCGCAGGTAACCTTATAGGGCTCGTTTGCTGCGAGGGATTAATCCCGAGATTAAATTTGAGATGAGTTTATTCTTTCTTTAGTTGGAATAAAATCGTGGTATAACTAATTCCGGAATTAGTTATCCCAAGATTGTAGCGTTTTTTTATCCATATGGGAGAGTGGAATAACTAGTTCCAGAATAACTAATTCCGGAATAATTAATCATAGGATGACTTGTTTTCCAATCAAACGACCCCATATAATAATAGTAATACTACTTTTCCCTTCTCATTAGGTGTCGGTACTTAGTTTGGGATTCCAACTAATTCAGATTGGTCCCACAGATAAGAGGGGTTGTTCTGATGGTAAGCAACCTCCACTTCCAACCAAGAGGTTGTGAGTTCGAGTCTACCCAAGAGCAAGGTGGGAAGTTTTTGGAGGGAAGGATGCCGATGGTCTATTTGGAAACAGCCTCTCTACCCTCCCCAGACCCCACTAAGTGGGATTATACTGTGTTGTTGTTGTTGTTTCAGATTGGTCCCACAGATAAGAGGGGTTGTTCTGATGGTAAGCAACCTCCACTTCCAACCAAGAGGTTGTGAGTTCGAGTCTACCCAAGAGCAAGGTGGGAAGTTTTTGGAGGGAAGGATGCCGATGGTCTATTTGGAAACAGCCTCTCTACCCTCCCCAGACCCCACTAAGTGGGATTATACTGTGTTGTTGTTGTTGTTTCAGATTGGTCCCACGTAAGGTATATTAGGGTAAGTATTCCGGAAAATTTTTATTCTCAAGGTTCGAACCAAAACTTCTGATTAAGCTCGAGAGTTCTTATCTTAGCTCAAGATGATGCACTTTCTTGTTCAAAGCTCTATCTATAAAAGTTAGGGGACATTATTGGAAATCAAGATTTGTGAAACTGAGAAAATGTTGCTTGATCAGCTGAATTTCTGTTAACCTCACTTCTTATACTCCATTTGAATTAAATTAAAGAGTAACAAAATATACTATCAAGTCTTAATTAAGTCATACACTCTTGATGTATAAATATGTTATGCTATTAATATAGTTTAGTTGATTACGACAAATTTATTTATTTACTCCTATATAATGTAAAATTTTCAAAGCTTCTTTTAAATACTCGTATGTATTGTTTTCTCAATTTCTTTCAAATCAAATTATTCCCAAACTTCAGAAAATTACGTTAAAATTCAATTTTTACAACCCTATATATCCTTCCTTTTACAATGAATATCTCTAATTGTTTGCCTTGTTCAACAGAAACAAATAGAACGTTACGTTGCTGATAACGTACCACTTCACTTAATTTCTATCTCATTACATCATGTTATTTTCAAATTCGTCGTCATTTAATTTTTTCCTAATTAGGAAAGATTTTCATACTTGTCTATTTTCAAAAAATATGTACCCCATAAGAAGAATATTTTCTTTTTGTTGTGAAAAGAATGCTCTAGCTAGCTCGGGTCTTTAAGAGTACTCAGTCTTTTTTTCTTAAGTTTTGGATATCCCGGACTCCTTAATTAATTTGTTCCATTTTATGCAACACTCTTTTCGTTTTAATTTGTTTAAAAAGGATGAAATTTTTTTATGTTTGGAAATTGTATAACTTTAAATTTCATCTTTACTCGTAATGGCATGATTTTATAGTCACAAAAATATTATCATATTTAAAACCATAATCTCTCATGGTAGTTTTGGTATATATATATATATATATATGTATATTTGTCGTTCTTTCTCATTATACACTCTGAACCTGTATATATATATATTTGTCGTTCTTTCTCATTATACACTCTGAACCTGTATATATATATATTTGTCGTTCTTTCTCATTATACACTCTGAACCTGTATGTATAATTAATGACAACTAGTAAAGAAGTTTGTGAAGATTGCAACTTCTATGTATCTATCTTGATTGATAGTGGCGAAGCCAGAAAATTCAATAAGGGTGTTCAAATTTGAACACCCTTTGCCAGGGGCTATGCATTGGTGTTGAACGTCTATTTTTAATCAATAACAAGTAATATTTTACCTTATACGTAATATAATTTTTCGGCAAAGGGTGGTCAATTCCCAACATAGCTTCGCCCCTGCTGATCGACAACTATGTTTTAGCCTTCTTGTGTTTGAAGCTGGTTCTTTTACCTCGCATCTCCAATCTCTTTTGCTTGAGAGGCTTCAAATTAAATTGTGAAAAATTTGAGCATCCAATTCAATGGATGAAGTAATATATAGAGTTTAATGGGTTAATTCTTATTATTTTCTTTTTTGCTCTTCTTTCATCTATTTTTGGAGAAGATAAAAATGAACAGAGAAATCAGCTGAAGAATAGATCTGAAGTTTAGGGAGCTATAGTAGGCTCAACAGGCTGAAGTATGGGCTTTGAGCCCGTGATCAAGCCAGGAATTTTATTAAAGAATGTCAAAATATAGAAAAACACAGTGAAAGAAATAAGGGAAGTCAATATAATTACTTAGTATATATACATAAAAAAAAAATTGACCCAGTTAAACAGTACAATTTTCCGGTGAAGACACCCCTTAGCATACGGTGGCTAAGCCACTGCTTGGAGCAGAGAGAGTGAGTAGGCTACAATAATATTACTCCCTCCGTTCCAATTTATGTGAACCTGTTTGACTGAGCACGAAATTTAAAAAAAATGAAGACTTTTGAAATTTGTGGTCCTAAACAATTCAAAAAGGAATCCAGAGTATTTGTGTGGTTATAAAAACTTCTCAGGGTAGAATTGGAAGTTTAAAGTAAATTGGTTCCAAATTTAGAAATAGGTCATTCTTTTTTAAACGGACCAAAAAAAAAATAGATTCACATAAATTGAAATAGATGAAGCAGAGGTAGTGGCGATGGGCTGAGTAGAGTGGGAGAAAAATCCTCAGTAATTGAATGACAAAGAGAGATGTGATAGTAAAAACAGACTTATTAAGACTAGTAAAATGTGAAATAATCCAATCCAATTAATCCAAAATCTTAAGCTAATCAGTGAAGTAATTCATGACGATTTAAACATTTTGAAAATCATATACTATACATTCAACAAGGAACAAGTGTAATTCACATTATGTAGGCACCAATATTTTAGTCTATATCGATACCCTTATGTGATAACTCTCGTATACACTATAATTAAAATATTGCTATATAATATAATATAATATGATGTACTTATCCTTTATAAGTGTTTTTCTCACTATAACTAGCAATGCAAGAATGGATCTGTGGATCATTGAGCCATTCACATCTTAATAAATTAGAAGGAAAAAAAAATACTATACTATAGTCACAACTCACAATACGCAGTATCAGCGCCCGTAATATATTATTAGACTTCTCTCAGGAAATTGGTATGACGAAGGCTTTTATGTTGCTGCTTGTATAGATTTTGTAGCCCTTGGCTTGCATGATTATGGATCTTAGGCCACCAATTGGTGCTATAATCATCAATAATACTCCAAGAATAATGCAAATCTGTCATCAAAAGTTCATTTTAGATTTTTATTTTAAGCTATAAAGGGAGGAATTTAAGTTATTTAAACCGTTTACTGCAAAGAATTTTTATATTATCAGGTCAATTTTAGTTGTTCTAGCAGGTAGCCTCTCTTATTTTCAAGATGGTGACCTGACAGTGTAATAAATTCTTTATACTGACGGTTTATATAACCTGAACTGAATAACGAAAGTCGTATGCAATTAGCAGCAGAGTTAAGTTGTACCTACCCAATTAATAATCCAAGAGAGACTGAATTTCTTTGGTTTGCAGATTGCTAGCCACATGATGCAAGGGTAGGTAATACCAACAAACATTGTGAAAGCTGTAATAAAAGCAAAATGCATTACAATTTTAGTTCAAACCGAAAGCAAAATTGGCATAAGAAATATTTATAGTGTAGGGTAGGAATCAAACATCCCCTGGGAAGGCTTCACGACCTGGTGGTCGGCATAACAATAATGACATTTGTTGATATGCTATAGCTTATTTTTTAAGATCATCATAGATTATTAATGCGTATATTTTATTATTGCGGAAATATTCCCCCATGAAACGGGTGTGTTGGAGATATTTGGACGGGTTATAGGAATTAAGAAATTCAAAAATAGCCAGGTTTATAAGTGGTCATTCAAAAATAGCCACAATTTCAAAAGTAATTGAAATTTAGCCACTTTTCATGTAAAGATAAATCTTAACGAAAACACTGTTCAAAATTCGGAAAATACTCCAACATAATATACTGAAATTCCAGCATAATATACTGGAACTTTAGTATATTATGCTGGAACTTTCCGTGTTGCAGCAAAATAGTGGTTATTTTTCAATGACTTTGCAGATGCTGGCTATTTTTGAATGACCACTCCGAAAACTGGCTAGCCCGTGCTATTTTTACTGAAATTGATCGAATCAATAAATTAGTTCGCTCATAACCTATCGCTTCAATCATAATTATATACGTTTTTGTATATAATACACATATATACAAAAACATATATTTTATCGGCTATTATCTTTGGGAGCAACTAAAAATTATACATTTCTCATTAGAATTCCTCTGCCACACGTGTGTGTTTGATACAATGGAAATCATTCTTCGAAAAATGTTATCTGAAAAATAACGTAATTTTTAGAAAATCGTTTCCCTTTTAGTGCAAAATGTTTTTCCCTGAAAAATATGTGTTGGAATCAAACAACGGAAAATGACTTCCGCCCAAAAGTGATGGAATTAATCTTTCCTTTTTAGGTGATGAAAATACTTTTTGGCAATCAAACACCAGAAAATGACTGATAAAAAAATATTTAAGATTTTTAAAAATATTTTCGATCATACCAAACACACCCTAATTCCAAAAAGTGGGAAAAGAACAATATTGAGTATTAGGAATAGGAGTTTAAGTTATATACATCATCGGTATAAGACAATTTTATACAATCAGGTCACGTTTACCTGTTGTAGCAGGTAACCTCCCTTATTTTTAATATTACATATCTCACATTTTAAAAAGGTTTACATAACATATCTTTGGATGACATGATAGTATACAAAAATATTTTATACTGACGATGTATATAACAAATACAGAAATAAGTAATATGCATACCTTAAGGACATGACAGCTGCAGCCAAAGACACACCAACTATGGAATTGAAATCAGGAAGATGACAACAACAACAACAACAACCTCTCAGTATAATCCTACAGGTGGGGTCTGGGGAGGGTAATATGTACGCAGACCTTACCCCTACCCCGAAGGGTAGAGAGGCTGTTTCCAGGAGACCCTCGGCTCAAAAAAGTAACAGCCGATATATTAGTACCATAAAAATGCATAATAAAATAACCGCAATATAAGAGACATTAAATACAGAATACGAAATACAAAATACGAAATACGAAATCAGGAGGATGAGAGATAACAAAATGGACAGAGGCAAAGATCATAATGAAGTAGGTAAGTTTTATGTCTTTACAATCTTTTTTACAGACCAAATCATAGAATTTCTTGAGTGATTGTCCTCCAGTTACCATATAAACTATGTCAACTCCAACTTCAACAATTAATTGTTGTGGCACAATAATCCATAGCCCAAGTTTTTTCCCAAAAGCATGTTGCCCAAGTTCATGATATCTGTCGAAACGTTTCCCAGGAACCATTTCGTGCATCTCAACCATTTGCCATAATGTGTAAAATGTTATAATCCAAGAAATTACCAAAACTGCTACTCCTGCCCCCCTGAAATTATATGGGATCGTCTTTATACAAATAGTTGGCCGAATTAATTCACTGTTTATTTTTCCTAGTCAGTGTATATGAATAGTACATTGATTATATATACAGGGTTATACACATATTATGCATTTGCCGGCTAGTTAGTTTAAGTGGTTGGGTGGACAATTAGTTAGGTTAATTCTTCAAATTAATTACATGTTATCTTATTTTCCTGCTATTGTTACTGTTTGTTTACTATTGTTTCCTTTTTTCAACTTTTTTTTAGCCGAAGATCTATTGGAAATAGCCTCTCTACCTAGTAGCGAAGCCAGGAATTTATCTAGGGTATTCAAACTTGAAAGTGGTAAAAAATTTCTCAGTAAATGTTGTTCAATATATGTTATATACCTCTAAAATTCAATATTTCACCTATATATACAGTATAATTTTTCGACGAAGAGTGGTCAGTTGACCATATTTAGGGCTATGTAGCTTCGACCCTATCTCTATTTTCACCAACTAGGAATAAGGTCTACGTACACGCTATTCTCCCCAGAGGCCACTTGTAGCATTATATTGAATTTATTGTTATTGCTTCAAATTAATTTACATATAAAAATAAGTAGTCAATGAGACACTTTATTTTTTCGTTGTTGGCAAATATTCCTAAGTGCTTATTAGCTTCTGCTAAAGTCATAATTAAGTAAACAACAACAACAACAACAACAACAACAACAACAACAACAACCACCCAGTATAATCTCACAAGTGGGGTCTGGGGAGGGTAATATGTACGCAGACCTTACCCCTACCCCGAAGGATAGAGAGACTGTTTCCGGGAGACCCTCGGCTAAAAAAAAAAGCAATGGGAGCCGATATATTAATACCATAAAAATGCATAATACAATAACAACAATATAAGAGATATGAAATACATAATACGAAATACGAAATAAATGGCTGGTATAGTAAAAACTAAAACGTGCTAGAAAAACGTGTTTTTATCTAGCAAGCAGTTTAGATTTTTAAATGAGATGGTTAAATAGTTTAACACGATACGTATCAGAGAAGGCAAAAGCCATGAATTTTAGTCTCAAAATTATCAAAAAGAATTTTTACGTGCATACCATCCAAGTTGTGCCAAGGCATAAGGAAGACCGAGGACACCAGCTCCAACCATGGCAGTAACATTGTGGAAAGCTGAATACCACCATTTTGCATTCCTGTTTGAAGTAACAGGAAGCCATGCGTCTATTGCCCTCTCTTCTGCAGATCTTTCATCAGCCTGGAATTTATTATAGGTCCATTAATTATTTTAAATTAAGTACATTTTGTTACCATTATAAATAGTATTGAGGACATAACCTATTCAAGATTTGAAGTTTATAGGACTTTATGACAATCTCAAATTAATAGGAGTATGCACTAATAATTACATTTATAATTAAATATTTATAAATATTCAATGAATTTTTAATACGTCCGATAAAATTATTGTGTTTACGTGAATTGACACATTACATTATCGGCCTAGTGCTCTATGATGTCTACTTAGCTTTTACTTAAATAAAATTCAACCACCTCTAGGAATAAAGGCAAAGCAATTTTTTCTGAATATATTTAAAAGAAAGTTTTTTCTGGAGGTGGAATAACTAGGACTAAAGGCAAAAAAAGTGAAAAGTCTTGTGAGAATGTTACAAATTTAAATGCAGTATACCACCTCTACAATTAATTATTACTCCCTCCGGTCCATAATAAGTGATATTTTTACCTTTTTATTTTGATTAAAAATAAGTATCTTTTTTTACATAATCAAGAATGAATTAACTTTAATTTTTCAAATTTGCCCTTGTTTACATATATCAATGTGTCAAGTTAACAATATACCTATTAAAATTAAGGGTAATTTAGTCAAAATACTTATTTTTTTTCTTCTAGAAGTTAGTATTTTCTTAAGAGGTGTACCAAAAACAAAAAGATCACTTATTATGGACAGGAGCATTTTCTGCTTGTAAAATTCTATTTTACAAAAAGTTAGTATATTTTTATTTGTAAAAGAATGATATCTTGTTATATTCAGAAATAGTTTAAGTTTATACCTCTTAGTTTATCTTTAATGAGATAAATATAATTATATAAATATTGATGACTTGTTCTAAACCACAAGTTTCTAATATCTTTCTTTCTTGTTAATTAAAATTTAGATACTAAAGTAATCAATACTTCAACATAACTCAATATTTTCCATACACACATAAATATATATAAAAATTTATTAAAATTTCAAAAATATTGAATTCACGACCCATAACTTCAAAAGTATAATAAATCAAACATAAAAACAAAAAAGTTAGCCTATCAAATCTAAATAGTGATAAACCTTTAATTAGTTGTTTGGTGGTTCTTGGGAACAGAAAAGTCAGCGCAAGGCAAAAACAAAATGAAAGCACGACGTGGGAACCAAACAAGCTACTCCATCCGGGCCATAATAAGTGATTTTTTAATTTTTTTTGTGGTCCAAAATAAGTGATTTTTTCAGATTTCAAGAATGAATTAATTATTTTTTTATTACAATACCCTTGGAGTAAATAATATTGGAGTATGTGTTATGAGTATTTACGTGAAGAGATAATAAATGTTAATATGGTCAATTTCATTGCTAATTAATACTAAAAGGTAAATTTCTTAATATGTGTGAAAACAACCAAAAAATCACTTATTTTGAACTTGAGGGAGTAATTTACTAGCTATAACATTCACATAGCAGAGACAGAGACGGAATTTAAAGCTTAAGAGTTCTAGATTTTAATCCTTTTAAGTTACTGAATTCTAAAGTAATAACTTATACATATTCAACAAATTTCATTAAATAAATAAATAATTTATGGATCAAAATTACTATATCCGACCGAACCCATAAACTCTATGCTACCTCCACCCCTGGTTGCTAAAAGATAAAAAGAAGTTTGAATTAATATTTATAAAGAAAGAAACTTACACTCTTGGAGCAGTAGTAATTGGAAATATTTGGAGTTTGGACTCAAGAAATTAATGGCTTTAGCAATTAAAAAGAGAGAGAGACCAAAGGGACAGAGGATTAATATAGTAGAAAACAATATCCAAACTAAAGAAATATGGGACTTTCCGAAAATTATAGGAGCTGTTTGTCTTTAAATAAACAAAATAATAGCTCTTAGGCCTTAGCTATGAAAATTATAGGAACTCCCTTTCACCCCTCTAGCGTAAAAATAACACAGACTAGCCAGTTTTTGGATTGGTAACTGAAAAATATCCAGGTTTTGTAAAGTCTTTAAAAGATAGTCACTATTTTACTGCAACGCGAAAAGTTTCAGCATAATATACTGAAGATTGGTGCACCTGTGTATGAACTTCCAGCATATTATGCCGGAACTCCAACACGCAGAAAGTTCCAGCACAATATACTGGAATATTTTCCGGATTTTGAACAATGTTTTCATTCAAATTTATTTTTATATGAAAAGTGGCTAAATTCCGATTACTTTTGAAACTGTGGCTATTTTTCAATGACCACTTATAAATCTGACTATTTTTCAATTTCTCTCCCCTCTAGCTCTTTGCCCCCGCTTAATTTGCCAATATTTAAACAAGGATTTAACATATACATACACTTTCCGTGTGATAAATTTTCCTATATTTTAACATGTTGTAATCATTGTATTAACGATTACTTATATGATTATCTTTTATATGACCTGAAATAGTGAAGTGTTGTTATATAAGACATATATTATAACATAATATAATATTCGATCAGAGAATAACTCGATTTTTATAGTGAATGACTATTATATAAGGATGTTGTTATAGAGAAGTCTGACCGTAGTCTGGGGAGGGTGGTGTGTACGCAGACCTTACCCCTACCCTGAGGTAGAGAGGTTGTTTCCAAATAGACCCCCGGCATCCTTCCCTCCAAGAACTTCCCACCTTGCTCTTGGGAAAATTCGAACTCACAACCTCTTGATTGGAAGTGGAGGTTGCTCACCATCAGAGCAACCATCTGTCATAACAGTTCATAATGTAGTTATATTTGACTTACACGTTCCTTTCACAGCTTAAGTCGTCTTGCCAAAGAAAATTCCACGAACATAGCATGATCTTTTTATACTTCAGCCATCAATTGTGCACTGTACTAGATATATACTCCTACTTATATGACTAACGATAGAGCTGTCAAAACGGGTCAGCCCAGCCCAACTCAATCCAAGTTTCGTGGAATTTTAATTTGGTGGGTTAGGACGGGCTGGTCCGCCATATGAGTGGCTCTTATAATGGTCAGCCCAACCCAACCTTAAGAGGGCCGCGGGCTAGCCCTTTAATTTTTTTTTTAGAAAAAAAAATTCTTTAAATCCTTAAATATTTTTTCATGATATAGTAAATTAATCATGTAAACAAGTTTGCTTAGTGCCTATAAAAAGCTTGATATTTAACGAGCAATCTCGTAATTAAAATGCAAATTCTCTATATCTCTAACTTTCTTTTTTAAAGTTACATGAATATTCTCTTAATACTTTTTTTTTGTTTTCCTCAGATTCAGGGATTGCTTCAATAAGTTTATATGCTGAGGTTTTTAAATTTAGGATTAACATCATTTACTCATTTCATCATTATAATCCATAAAAGTTTTAAAATTCCTAAAATTTACTAGTGGTCAATTTTTTTATGTGCATTTAAAATTGATCTTTTTCTATACTGAAGAGTAGTTTAAATATTAATAATATATTAAAGTAATCCAAACTGATCATTGGCAACTTAGAATAATATTTTCTTTTAAAAAAAGATTATTATTGGTCACCTAAACCTTCTCGATTTCGTTATTAATTAAGCAAAAGAAAAACTAACTTTGTCATATTACATGCATATCAAAAATCTAATTCTCTTTGATATGGAAGGATAACTGAGCAATCTAGGGTTGGGGAATGAGGATTATAGTTAATAGTTTTTTTAGTTTTTAGTTTTTTAAATATTAAATATTTAATAGTTAATTAATTTTTGGCTCATGGGCCAATCCAGGCCCAACTCGGTCAAGTCTCAAGGGCCAGCGAGCTGACTTCGGTCGGGCTTATAAGCCTCAATTTTAAATGGACTCAAAAAATCCTAGCCCAACCCTACCCATGTAGCGGGCTGGATTGGGCTGGCCTCACGGGCCAAGCCCATTTTAACGGCTCTAACTAACAACAATAAATTAGTTAATTAATTATAGAATTAAAATTACTTAGTAGCACAACAAATGAAGGAGAATTTTCTGCTTTCATACTCAATATAAGAAAAATAAACAAAAATCGGAGGTAGAGTGTTAGGTATCGGTTCAATCTTTTAGATCCTGTATTTGTATTAGGAAATCTATCAAATATATAATTATGTATAAATATTTAATTGTGAACCCAGTAACTAAGACGAGCTATGAATTCGATGATCAGGGCTATGCCTCTAATATGAATACGTGTATGTTGTAAAGTTAAGTAAACTTTACACCTATTTCCATGCCTAGACAGGTTATAACTGCATTGAAGAATGATCAAATGGGGATTGTTAATTTTGAGAGTATTATATGATAACTAACATGTTTTAATAAGTGAAACCAGAAACATCAACTTTCAATTAATATATTTCCCATAAATATGTGAAAATAGTACGGGCTAGCCAGTTTTCAGACTGGTAATTGAAAAATAATCAGCGCTTGTAAAGTCATTAAAAACTAGCAACTATTTGCTGAAACACGGAAAGTTTCAATATAATATGTTGGATTATGGAGCTCAATCGCATAAATTTCCAGCATATTATGTTGGAACTCCAGCACGTTGAAAGTTCCAGCACAATATGCTAGACATTGGAGCTCCTGCATATAAACTTCCAGCGTATTATGTTGGAACTCCAGCACATTATGCTGGAATCTCATATGTAAAAAATTCAAACTCCGACACATTAAGGGTTTTTTTATTAAGAATTTATCTTTACACAAAAAGTGACTAAATTTCGATTGAAACTTTAACTATTTTTTTAATTACCAATTATAAATCTGGCTAATTCTGATTATTTCCTTAGAATAGATATCTAGTCTTCCGTCTAGAATAGCGCCAAGGAAACACCTAATGAGCCAATTAATTTGTGATTATGTTTAGGAAACACTTGGGTGGCGCTTATTTGTGGATAATTTTTAATCTAAATCTCGTACGAAGATTTTCTTTCTTTCAACTACTCAAAGTTAACTCTTTATTTCACCATATTTTACGATTTTAATTAGTTATATCGTGTTATTATTCTACTTTTAAATTATCTTAACGAGTTTAAGTTTCATTCACTGACAGTTTAAAAAATAGTTGCATAACAAGGTCAATTAAAAGGAAATATAGCATTACTTGATAACCTAAAATAAACGGAAAAGGCCTAAAAATGTCACTCAATTAATATAAATGGCTTATCTATGCCATCCATTAAAAGGTCACTCTATTCATGCCACTAACGTTATATTTTTGGCCTATTCATGCCATTAACGTTATACTTTTGGCCTATTTATGCCATTGTCGACTAACAGTTCCATTTTCTGATTTTTAAATAATAAGAATTAATTTTCGACCCCACTTTTTCCACGTGTCTTTATATTACTGGTTCTTCTTTATTTCTTTTAACCCTGATTACGTAAAAATTGCATGGGGGCGCCCTATTTGGTCGCCCCAATTTAACCTATACCAATTTTTTTTTAAAACTTTTAACTTGTACCCACTTTTTAATTAACTTCAGCCCCCTTTCTCCTCCTCCTTCGTTTTCTTCTTCTTCTTCTTCTTCTTCTTCTTC